ATTACAGGGAGAATGAAATAAATCGTTTTCATCCTTTGCATCTTTTTACTCTGCCGTCAATCGAAGATCGTATATTTTTCGTAACACAACATTGCACCGTCAATACAAGTGTTGACGTCATTTGGTAAGTCAGATCGATCAGGCGCTGGATTAGGCTTGACAAACTTCTGGCTAGAAAATGCTTTTTCATAAAAGCCAGGTGGTTGTTTTCCTTGTAGAAATATTTTCGCTGTCTTCCATTCCTGTACTTGACCATCTCCAGCATTCCAGCGCAGCAGTTTATCTGTATACTGCCCCTATATGTGCTCACAAAACTGCTTTAAAATCGACTCTGGATTGTCTAAAAGATCGTCAGAATTAATGACGGGGGTTTGGTTCGTTTCCTGTTTTTATAAGATGCTCCTAAAGTTCGACACTTTCTCCAAATGCGTATTTTTCAGGTATAAAAATTCCGTTGTTGTCCATCAGGCTGATGATACACATTGCTTGAGATTAGATTCTTTTAATGGGATTACAGCCATCGGCCACAAAGATCATTATTGTCATTAAAATTATCATTATTATTAAAGAAAGCTAGTGTATTAAAGTTTGTTAGAATGGATTCACTCATTCGTGACAGTCCTAGCATCTTCTGCACAACATAGTTCATGCCAAATTGCGTCGACGCGACGTTCTAGGTCCTACCGTTGTCGTACAATGAAAATTCCGCATATTGTACTTAGTTTATTATCAATTAAACAGTTGTACAATCTGCCTAATATTCATTACTGTATCTAATTCGATTGGACAAACTTTATAATAATCAACACATAACAAATATTTTGTGTCACGTTTCATATTTTGGTAATAAGTACATAACTGGCCCTTCTGCTCTACTACAATGTCGATTGACCATTAGGCCTAAGCTTTGTAAACAATATCACATTTTATGATGTGAAAAAACAAATGAGATGTGCCCATTTGGATGTAATATGACATGTAATATGACATCATCATGACTATATACTGTATGGCACATGACACAAATTTGACAAAGAGCTTAGTGGTCAATCGTTAATGCACTGAAGGCAGTAATGGCGCTCCATAGGCGTGATCACTATTCATTAATTATTCAATCATGATCATTCACGCGCCAGGGTCCACACGTCCACCGGTGACCACCGTTTCACACATCATCACAGAATAAACGGCACGTTATTTGATAGGTCATACGATCAAATAGCATCAAAATACAGTAATCGATTGTCTTCGCTTGCTATGCATGGGAAGGTCAGTGACGAGGTTTACATTGATTTTATACGAAATCGATGTGGTTTCATCAGGTCCCACTAGGCCTAGGTACTCAGCCAGAGAGTGCAAGTGAAGTAAGTGCTTTTGGCGACTCCCTCATGCTCTCGTATTTGGCCTATGAAGGCAAGCTTAGTCTTGCTTGGCTAGGCCCTAGGTACAGTAGTCAAAATACGCAAATACTAATAATAAGCCAGGGAGTTGAGTAGTCAAAATAAGCAAATACTAATAATAAGCCAGGGAGTTGAATAGCCCTAGGCTAATTGACTTGTGGTAAATGTAATGACAATGATGTATGTAGGCCTATGTAGGCATAGTAGAATACTGTATCTGTAGCCTACAGTACAGGCCTAGGCCTAGTAGCTAGCCTAAGCCTATATATCTATATAGGCCTAGGCCTACAGTACCTAGGCCCTAGTCTTAGTTTATAAAGAAATAAATGGGCTGAAAGCACTTGATTGAGCTGTGGACTACCTTGTCCATAAACTTGATTCTCGTCTTTCCATGTCTGCTGAGTTACCTGGTAAACCGGGACCATCTAGGCCTAACTACTCTCGTCTGTCACAACAGGTGCTGTATTTATGGACCACTGCCAGTACACCGGGGTAGCCCCTACTTGTCTCGAAACATTTACTGGATTCTTTAAAGTGCACATGAGCCAAATTATGTGCACTGGACCTCTGCCGTTTCGTAGCAAAACAACATAACTTGAAATTTTCACCTTTCGAGAAACTTCTCAATAAATTGTTGTACACTTCTGAAATTTTGCATGGCTACATACCGGGCCTATCTATAGACATGATTACTGTATCTGTAAAATCTTAATTACAACTGTTGGTTTATTGCAAATTATTTGTAGCAAATAATGTATAGGCTAACAATACATATAATTTTCTGCAAATTTTGTTCAGAAATCGGTCCTTATTTTAAATTTCTAAAATGCATGGACTCATTTCCAAGCATAATTTTTGCATGGGAGATATAGAGGCATTATTTTAAAAGTCTGGTACTAGGCCCAAACACTTTCTGTTCATGGCAAACATTACAGTTCTAATCATATTTGGTTGTCAATCTGTAGACCTAAATAGAAGAGCACTAGATAGAAGGTGCAAGTATAGTAACTAAAGATCTCAAAACATTTAATATTCCATATATTTTCCATTAATTTGAACTTTAATTAGCTCTTTTTAATAGCACATACCTTTTTGTATTTTAAAAATAGATTAGAAACGCATTCCATGGGGAGTTTGGTTGATGATAATATTGTTAGCCTTTGATTGCTACAAACTTAAATTGTCATCATGGTGCATGGAATGCGTCAGAGACGCCACATCCCAACCTGGACAGCCGTGATAGCTGCCTGCAGCCTGGTGTCCATCTTAATAATGCTGCACTTGCTCCTAGTTGATCAGAGAGGAAACCCAAAGCTTGAAATGGAGAAGAAGTGGGAAAATATCCGAACCATGGAGAAGAAAATGGAAGAGATGAAACAGAACGTTGCAAAAGCTGATGCGTACAAGGCAGAATTGATGGAAATGGTGAAGTCATGTAACGTCACAGCAGGACAACAAGGTAATAGATGTCGTGGTCTCTTAGCACTTGATTTACCCAAGTTAGAGACACTGCCAAATGATCTGCTAAATCGTGAAGTAGACAATACTGGACTATTAGGCTGTAGTGAAATTGATTCATTAAAAATAATCAAGCAAATCCATAAAGGTGGGAATAAAGTTGTCCAAAGTGCTCAACATGGCAAAAGGCAAGTTGCGGTTAAGAGCGCTGCATTAGAGGTTCGGAATGTACAGAACTGTTTAAAGCGAAAGACATTCAAAAAGAAAGAGGATTGTTACATTTTAGCAAATTATGAGGTTGTGCGCGAGAACTTGCTATTGAGGCAAATACAGCACTCAGGCGTCCCAAAGATGTTGGGTATGTGTGTTCGAAGTGAGGTAAGCAGTGGTGACATCAAGGAACGTGGTGTATCATTGGTAGTAGAGTTAGGAAGGCAGGTGGATTTAACAGAGTTGATGTCACTGTCATTGAAAGAAAGAATCAAGGTTGGTGTTACTCATTGTTACTCATTTTTATTTTATTGTCATATCAACGGACTGAGATAAAACCCTCCAATGATGAGTTGACACTACAGGTACATACTGTACACTAATCAAGACATTTAAAAAAAAAAAGACGCTCATCTCCGCTTGCAAACATAGCGCATGCATACAGTCCTTTGATCTTAACTGTGACATTGACAATTTCATACTAGTTGCGAGTACAGCTGACAAATATTAGTATGTGTGCCATACGTTTTATGTTGTTACTTACTAGTTATTCATTTTGGGCAATGTCTGTTACATCTGATTTCTTTTGACCATGAGCTTGTTAAGTGCTTCTACTGTATAAACTAAAATTTGATTTGTAAAAACAATGTGAAAGTAATAGAAAATGAAAATTTATGAATTTATAAAAATTCACGTTCTTATGTAACATGAAACTGTCATTTTGACAATTGGACTAAGGTGCACAAAATGAAAATTTGAGTAGATACAGAAACTTTATTTTGTCTGTGAAGTGAGTCTCATGAACCACCAGGCACCACAACATGGGTAAAATTAATGTTGAAACAATGAATGTACAGTAATTGATTGTTACTTCAAAAAATCATTAGGCTTTTGTAATCACTGCACGATGTGCGATTATCATGGCAACTGACATGTGCCTTGGGTAATTTGTTAGTTAATAATGGTTTGGTCGCTATGGTTTTTGTGACGATAAGGGCTTTTTAAACGCGATGTGTAGAATGTTGATGCCAGAGTTATAACCTTTGATGTCTTGAGATGAGCGTCCTTTTGTTCAATTTCTTTCCTCTAATATATAAATATTTCCCTTAGTTTTCTACCATCTCATGTGAGGCAAATAGAGTTGTGTATTATGAAATATTGCACACACAGAAGGCACCACATTTTTTTAGTGTCTGAGAGCACCCCATGTTTTTGGCTGCAGCAGAGTTGTTTCCATGTCAAAAATCTACAGGGAATCAAAATTTTAAAGTAAATGTATTGTAAAGTGTGGGTTTCAATCCTTTGCTGTGCACTTCGCTTGTGCCGTTGAGCAAGGCACTTTATCTCCACGCAGGAGCATAATGGGTATCGGTGAGAATTTGGCCGTACTGTACCATGACGGAAGCAACATTTAATGTTATGGACTCAAGTCAATAACAAGGGATAAGAAAGCGCTTCGTGACCTAAAGGAGTGGCGCTATAAATACTCAATTAACAATAGTTTTACTATTACTCTTTTATATTTCTCCTTATAATTTAGATAACAATGGACTTTGGTGGCCTTCTTTTGTATTTCGCACATTCATCACTAGGTAGCATGAGAATACAAAAGTTCAAATTGAACCGGTTTATACTAGCTGATGACAAGATCAAACTGGCTGATGTCAATGAACTGACCAGTCTTGAACCAGAATGTGATGTTCAATACAGATGTCTCTTGAATGGCACAGAGATAGGTGAGGTGTATACAGAATAAAATACTGATTTTTTAAAGTTGGTTTTCCAACATTGAAGAATCATGAGTTCAGTGCAAAGAATTTCCAACTACAAAATGTCACTGTTGGCATAAATCCACTGCTTGATTGAAATGTAGAGAGATCTTTCTGTTTTTAGGATACAGTATCACCTACAACACAATTGAGATAAAACTATGGCTGAGTGGTTAGAATAATAGAGGAGGTGAACATACATCATTTAATTATGTTACCACTTTTTCTTGTTAGTTATCACTGCTTGATTTCTGACAAATCTAAACTGACTTACTTATGAACGATTGATCTTTTACATGGGTGACGGCAACTTTTCCCTGACAGGTTATCCATTGTTCCCTGACAGGTTATCCATTGTTCCCCCACGGGTGGGCCAGAGTCTTACAGCCATCCCACATGTTTCATTTTTCCCCCTACACATTTTACCGTATCTCCCTGACTTTGCCAGCCAGGCTTCACCGACTGCTGTGGACAGGCCCAGCAAGCACACCCGCTGGTGCCACCCATGCCTATTTATTAGGTTAAAGTTGCATGGATAGTCGTTAGAGGGCAGAATAGCATAATCTGTTAAAATTGAATGATCACTCTGTATGTTGTTAATTGTTCTATATGTATTTTATGTTGAAACTATAAAACACATTATCTTCAATCTCTTTTCACAGAAAGTATAAAGTGCTTTGACAATAGGTGCATTGGAATGAATGAGCAACTCAATTTACAAGCAGCCAACAAGATATTTTTTAAGCCCCTCCTTCATGTTCCTGTTACCAACCCAAGAGCCACTGAAATTCGCCAACTTCTAAAGGACATCGAAGCCTACAAGATGACCTCTGACCATGTATATCTTCGTTTGAATTCTCTATACCGTAGTTACAATACATGAGCAAGAACCAAATACATTTAATTACCTCGTACAATACAAAGGCCAACAAGAAGATTTGAAGAAGACAAATTGCTTCAATGAAGTGAAGTTTTCACAATGAAAGAGAGATTGCCACAATGAAAACAAAACTATTATATTGTAGTAAAATGCTTACATTAATTTTTTGGATTTTTTTCTTTGTAATTTTACTCTGTCAATGTGCAATGCCACTTTCATTACTTTCAGTATTTCTGCATTGGATGGATATTATTTAGCTTGTACCTTGTAAAGTGCATACTGTATGAGGAGGTACCTTCAACATCATAAAATTGTATATATTTATAGTCATACACACCAGCAACATCGACAGTAATCATTGGCATCTTGCCATAGTTGTTGTTATGTAGATGACCTCACCTCAAAACAGTTTCCAGAGCGTGTTCTTCAATTCTTCTGGCTCTACACAATAACATAAAACAATATCAACATTTGTTCCTTTGAGTATGTTTGTTTTTTGCTTTATGAAGATTTGGTTTTAAAAATACTTGGTCGTTTGAACTAGGCTTATCTATGGCTGTTCATGTAGCTTTGGTGTTTTTTTTTTGTTTTTTTTATCCCCATGTTTGTTACTGTGGCTGTTTTTCAGCCATGCTGTCTCAGAGTGATTCCTACCTCTACACTTTTCTGCATTTTTTAAAACCAAAAACTAGGTAATCTCTGCCAGTTGTGTGCTTGTGTGTTAACCCACAGTACTTACACTATTTGGCCTGGCAGTCATGTTGCCTGATTGACTAATTTATCTTCTAGCATAACCCACTGCTACTCCTGGTGGTACATGGCCTGAGTTGTTGAGTCATAAAAGCTGTCAGGCAAAAACTGATTTTCTAAAGCCAGAGACAGCTGGCCTGAGACTTCCATGTTCAAGCATCTAGACATAAGCTAACATTTTTGTAGCCAATCCATCCACAGCTTGCCTGCTTTCTGTGGGTTTTTGTCCGGAAATAGTTCTGCTCTCAGCGACCTAGTGTTGACCACTGTCACCACCTTGAAGTATTAGGCAATACTGTACTAAACCTGCATTATCTTTGCAATATGCTGCTTTGAGGTGTGGATACCTGTGTATCTTCTGTCTGTGCTGCTTCCCTCAAGAATGGATTTTAAATCCCATTTCTTGTGTATTGCTTTTTTTTTTCAAATGTTCATTGTTTGGATAATGTGTTTTAATATTCTTTCATTAGAATTTGTAAACTTGCAGTTATTGTCTTCCTATCTCTGCTGTGAAGCGTATTGGCAAGTACCTTCATTAGACCCAGGACTCTATTTTAAAAACAATTATCCAGCATGGTGCTTGTTCACCCGAGTCTGAAAATATTTTTCCAATTTATTTTTGAGTTTCTCATACAAATTTCCTCTTCAGTTCTTTTATCTAGAAATTTTCCTAATCAGCATAGTTCATCCTTTTTATCTTGGCAGTGGCCTATATAGGGCGGAGGGGGAGTCAGGGGTGCATTCCCCCATAAAATTACTCGCGTGCCCCCAGTTCACCTAAATCACCTTATTTTGTGAATTAGTGCCCCTCTACTGATCATCAAGCCCCCACTTCACATTTGCATTGCTCCCCCCAACTTCACCTTCGCACCCCTACTTAATTTTTCGCTCCCCCCGCAACCACACAAGTATCACATTCATAACATCACTAGTAACATTGTATTCAATTATCGAGGTTGTCTGCATAACAACAGCAACTATGGAAGGCCATTATTGCAATAATCACTCAGAATATTACAATATCCTGCTTGTGACAGATGATGTTGCTGACAATGGCTTTCAACCCTATTTCTGTTTGAAATCAGGGGTGGCGCCAGCGAGGGGCCAGACCCCCCTCCCCCGGTCGGGGAGAAGAAGCACAATTCGTCGGGGAGAAAAAAAATTATATGTATTTTGTACATATTAGTAGACTCTAAAATCGATTAAATAAGCCTTTGAAACACTTAAATTGTTAATATTTTTGCCCCCTGGACCACTTTCAAAACCTTTTAATCGATGCTCGACCACGCCCACATAGCTTTCGTCGGGGAAATCTGACCCCTCGTCGGGGACCCTCCCCCTGTCGGGCAAATGCTGGCGCCACCCCTGTTTGAAATCTGCATAGTGTAGTTACCAGCCAAAAAAAACATGCCACTTTGAAACCTTCAAATATTAAGAAACTAGTTAACTATAGTAATGCTGCACATTGAGCAACTTTATTGATAGGTAGGTACTGCAAGTCACAAATATTTATTTAAAGTTAGTATAATAGGATAAATGTTTTTTATATTGATGTTTAGATATTTATTTACTCACATTGTGTTTTTTATTCACTTAAAATGTTTTTAACCAAATGCTTAGCATTTCTCTAAAGAACTATTTAAGGAATTATATTTATAATCATGTAAGGAAAATTTCAAACATCAAAAAAGAAAAAAAAAATGAAAATTTGTTTTACTGTATTTTCTTTCGAAATTCTTTATACTTATCCAAATGTTTTGTTTGAATGTATACAGTTCTGGCTCAGTTTACTGTTGGGATTATGCTTTAACATTTTTAATTTTCCTAATTTTTTTCAAAAATATTTGTTACGTAGCATTCCATGTGTAGTCAATCAAGCTGTAGCTGTGGTGGTTAAGATGTTTGCCTTCCAAAATCTTGTCAGAAACCTGATTTTTTCCATTCTGAACTTCATAATACTGTGTAGTTTAATTTTGATGTTTACTTTAAAAACATTTTCTATGTAGTATTTAAAATGTATTTATTGAATTGTTTTCATATTGATTGTTTTATTATTATTCTGGTATTTTAGTATTCTCATTTAGGGACCACAGTGGAAATAATTTGCTTTTTGTACTTTTCTGTGTTTTTATCCTTGACTGTTTTTACTTTTGATTACTTTCAGAATGAATCAATAGTAAAAATAAATAAATTCCTGTAACTAAAAACAATCATATTCATATATCAATAATATTTTATTATGAAAAGTGTGAATTAGTGCCAAAGGCTGTACTCATTGACCTGGTGCTATACCATGAAGCAAAGCAAAGTGCTTCATCTACTTGTGTGCAAACAATTTAATACATAATTCCCTTGTACTAACAATTATTATTTATACATTTATTCCTCTTTACATTCATATACCATGGAGTCGTAGAAAGATATAATACTGTAGATTGGGTTATAATTTGAGAGAAAAATAATTTGGAAAATGTTTTAATTGATTTGTCAGATGTTTAACCAACATTTGTTTGTTTTTTGTTAACCAAATATTCTGATGGAAAAGTCATTTGTTCTGGATGTTAAACAATGGTACTCCTTTATATTTATGGGTCTAGGCCTAAACCTAACGATTCATTTTGTAATTTATTGGTCTATTTTCGTACATCCGTAATTCAACTACGGACGTTTCGTCGAATTTGAGAAGTCTATTGTTGTTATTGTTATATCGGAGAAATGCAATATGGAGGTCTGACTGCTTATGTTTCCAGAGAAAATTTAATTACATATCTATTTCTTATATTCCATTATTGAATTTTATATTTAAATTTTTTAGTTATATGACCTCTATTTAATTTAGATTTGGATTTTAATTTAATTTAATTTGAATTGCTAAATATTTAAAATATTAACAGTAAATTTGAAGCATTAAACTATGCCAAACTTGGTGTCTTTTCTTTTAGGACTAATTCTCAAATACAGAGAAACGATAATTTTTTAACATAGCCCCTTTATCTTGTCTAAAATATTGGAAGAAAGTAACCATTTAGTTATATGAAATTTATTTAATTTAGATTTTAATATTAATTAATTAAACTATGGTACAGTATGCCAAACTTGGTGTCTTTTCTTCTAGGACTAATTCTCAAATACAGAGAAACAATAAAAAAATTTTGACATAGTCCCTTAATATCTTGCCTAAAATATTGGAAGAAAGTAGCCATAGTATTAAAATAAATAGTAGGTTGTCCATTTGATTAATGTGAAAATAGGCAATATACTACTAAGTATCAGGAATTTATTTGCGTTCATGACAGATCATTTTCAGTATTTTTAAATGTCATTGTTTTATATATTATCTTTAATAAAATTCAAAAGGTTTTCATGAATTTTGTCCTTTTTTTTTTTTATTGAAATGTGTACATTGAACAAGCAGCTGCCACAATTAAATACAGGAACAGCGTTTTTATAAAAAATATTGAGATATTTTATGTGATATGTAATCTTTGAAATAAATGCATTATAATATACTAAACATATTCTACATGCTTAATATTACAAAATCCTATGGTATTTTTTTTTCAAAATAGTTCAATAAAGATAATGAAATCTTTAGAAAACTCACAGTACAAAATGTTTATTCATATTAATAAATTCTTAAATTATATCCTATTTCTTTTGTTTTTATAAAGTATAAAATCTCTAGTAGTACACCCATAATATTATTAACATTATTGGTCAGTGGCTAACTTGGTTACCTGGGAATAGCTCCCAGCTCTAATGCCAACATCACCTGATCCATGAAAATTCCTCTCCCACAACACCGCATCCCTAATCAATTGTACAACCATGTCCTATTACTGTATATGTTATGTTATGTATATTGTTCGGCAATTGCTCATTGTCTAAAACAATATATATCTATAGATTCATATCAAATGTCATATCAATGATATAAGAAAATTCCTGTATTTATGCAAATAAATAATAAAAATAAGAAAAATTTAGTGTACAAAATCACTATCAAGTCATGATGTGTCCTGGTGTACCTTGTTAGATGGTATGCCAGGCAAATTATTCTTAAAATTATGACCATACACCTTCTGTCGTATAATGCATATTTCCCCTAGATGCTTCACGTTATATATTTGACTCCCGAGGAGTATTTTAAAATATTGCAGCTAGTAGTATAATGCACTGAAACTAGATCTACACGATACTCCTGAGAAGAGAAAGACAGCAGGGACAAAGTGTTTTAAATTCTGAAGGAGGTGTGCAAAAAACATTCAAAAATTACCTTATTCCCCTAGTTTATCGCTCTTCAATTTCTCATCGCATTTAGCAAAAGACCACGGAATGAAGACGTCATGAAATGTAGGCGTAATTTAGCCAATGAGTAAAGAAATGAGATGCCACTACTGTAATTGTACCCGTATACTCTGAATAATAACCACATATATTCAGATGCAATATATCTACCTGTTATTTAACCACTGACCAAAAAGTGTACAGATATTATATGTACCCCAACTCTGAATATTTTGGTAGTGATAAAACTAGTAATGGCAGTACAACACTATACTCGCATTTTAATAGTTATATTTCTAATGGTAGTATTGAGCCTGGAAAGACATTGCATCGGCAGAAGGTTGTCAGCACAAGATCACAACGTGACAAGTTGCATCCAATAATAGGGAGGTTTTAATTGAGAACGTACAACGGGAATGTAGAACGGATTCATTCATCCATGCTTTTGTTCTACGTTCTACTTTAAATCAATTTAGATTTTTTACAATGCGTACATGGATATGTCACAAATGCGAAAGACTGACACACCAATGTTTAATACAATATAGTCCATGTTCTGGCCTGAACGTAGATTTGGCCGACAACAGATTTCACGAATGTAACCCACTGAGTTCAGATATGCGCAGTCAAATTAACATTTCTAAGTCATTGCAAATCAAAAGCTCCCTAATGGCTTTCCTATACTACCACAGCAGATGGCATCTCGTCAAATGCTAACACGGAGATGGTCTAGTCAGATACAGTGTTTGCCTAGCTTTAGCTTTATTAGGTTTACTATAGATATTGCATTATTGTACTACTGTACTATTGTGCAGTCAATGTCTAGTTGTGTTTTACTGTAATTAGAATAAAAACTAATTACATCTCTATTCAGAATCTACTCTGAATCAGTTGCAACCTTACCAGATTTCAGCTTACTAACTTCCAATCTATAATTAATGTTTTAGTAGATGAATAAGGAAGGTTTGTTTGTTATTGGTCATTCTGTTGTCATGGTGATACTGTACTGTTACCAACAGTGATTGCTATATTGACACATTTGATTAATCGCCATTGATTTGTAATGCGTTCAGAACCTGGAAGTGTCTCTTCCAAACAACAAGGTCTTTGTCCAATCAATTGGTACTTGCATTCTCAGTCGCCAACTTCCGAGTCGTGTCAGGTAAGCTGATCGCCATAGTAACCAAGAATGAAATCCTAATTTTAATCATGAGAAAAAAAAAAAGAAAAAATTATCTTTAAGGCGAGACTTTTTTTTTTTTTTCTTATTTAGCAAATAGTTTTTTCCAAAAACATCCAGATGGAGGAGAAAATAAAAATAAAATTTTATTGGTGAATGTAAACAGTGTAGTAATGTGATGGTTAGGCGATACTTTTTTATTCCTTGTTTCGCGAACCTATTTTTTAAAGATCATCTGAGGAGGGTGGGAACAAAAAATTTGTTTCCTTATTTAGCGAATAGTTTTGCCAAAACCCCTAGGTGGATGACAAAATAAAAATAAAATTTTACAGGTGAATGTAAACAGTGTAGTAATGGGATGAATAAATGCTTTAAATTTATATAACTAGGTATGAATATACTTATCTTTAGAGATTTCAAGGCAGTGGAGCGTGTAATAAAAATAAAGAAAAACTTTTATTTTTTTCTGAAATTTCCATTTTTTCGTGGCGGCAGGCGCGTTAATAGGCCAAAAAAATAAAAATTTTTTTTTAAATTTATCATTATTTGCATCATTATTTTTATTTTCCATGTTCGCTGAACATGGAAAAAAAAAATCTCGCCTTAAATACTTTAAATTTATATAATTAGGAAGAAATATACTTATTTTACTTTTGGAGACTTAAGGCAGAAGCGGGTAAAATAAAAATAAGAAAACGTTTATTTTTTCTGAAATTTCCTTTTTTTGTAGCGGCGGGTGTGCAAATTGGCCAATAATAAAATTTTATTTTTATTCAAAATTATTTATTATTGGCAGGCAGTGTTCCCTACACAAGGTATAAAAAACAATCTAATCAAATGCTTATACAAACAATGAATCTTTTAGTATAGTAGTGTATGAGTTCAATAGTATATGACTGAAAAGGTATATAGATGCAATAGCTTGATCATTTCCCCCTACATTTGCATCTTAATTCATTTACCTTGCGCCTTGACACCAGGTGTATCGGTGAGAGCCTTGTAGCTACCTAGATAAGCCAACATGCCCATATTCTTGAAAACAAAAGGCTTAACATTTTCACCCTTTCTGCTACACTCTAGACTCTCACAAAGGTACTTGCCTTGTCGTTCAGCAACCTGAAAGAAACAAGATGATTAAAACTATTATTCTACTCATTATTATTATTATTTTATTATCACCATCATTATCATTAACACTATCATATTAACACGTTGGCTGCCAGCGGCGAGTATACCCGCCCATAGGGTGTTGCTGAGTATACTCGTCAAAATCTGGGTAACATTCTATTGTTTATAACTTCTTTGTTATACATTGTAGAACCACAGACTTAACGGCTGGTACTTCGGGGAAGATACACCTAGGAGATAACGTACAAACAACGTATGTATGTTTGTTGTGGTTATGTTGCCGGTAGTACAAATGTAAGACTTGCCCAAGCCTTGCGTGATGCCCCTGGGCAGTGAATGATATGAGCAGCACGCATAGTGCACAGTACACCTGTGTAGTGTAAGATTTAACTGCGAAGTCCTATACACACCTGAAAATTGCCATACTCACCTGAGCAGTGCAGACCTCAACTCAGCAGTGCAGACCTCAACTCAGCAGTGCAACACTCAAATGAGCAATGCAGGACTCACATGAGTGCAGGACTCGCATGAAAAGAGCAGGACTTATGTGAACAGTACAAGTTCACCTGAGCATTCTAGGACTAACCTACAAAAAATCACATGAGCAGTGCATGGACTAGACTCACATGAGCCATCCGAGACTCACCTCAGCAGGTTATGACCAGTGGTGGACCATCAAGGCAAGCAAGGTATGCAGAGCATACCCTGGCTAAAACAGTAGTTTCTCAGTTTTACTTAGCATTTCTTAGTCACAATCTTCTATATAAACCTTAATTTTTGAGTGGATTACTACAGTTCATTGGAATAGCAAAGTTTTTCAATCTAGGATAAGTCACAGTCGGGCCTACTGCACCGTACTCTCAGCTGCTTAGAATTTCTGCACGGTGGGTTTTTAACATCGGCCAATCACATACTCAGTGAGTCAATAGGAGTCAGAGCATACCCTACAACACTTAAACTTGCTATTGTGACAACCGTGTGGTGGCGTCAGAATAGCCAATTTAAATTGGCGCTTCCAAGAGTATACAATACAATACAATATTTATTGGATAACACTTCTATAACAGTGGCACACGTTAGACAAATTCTAACGGTGCATCCAGAAAAGAACAAAGCATGTTCTTCTTCTCACAAAACTGTCGAACGGGTATTCTATCGATAGGCCTAATCTCAATAATTAAAGTTTAATAAATTTGCATACATATGAGTCGTGTAGAAGGAACTTTGAATTATTATTATTTGAATTGAAATTTGTTAAAATACAGGAATAGGAATTCTTTTTGAGAGAAGATACTACAACCATGCCGGTATTAAAAGTAACATACATTTGTACAGTATTTTGACTATAGAACGCAATCTGATTCTGTATAGTAGTAGGCTTACAAACTTTTCCTACTAGCAGGCCCTAGCATCAGTGGCGTAGGGGTCTTGAATGGAAGGGAGCTGATGGGGGTGGGAAGGAGGGGGATCGGTTATTAAATGAAGGGGCTAACTCGCAAAATAAGGTGATTTGAGGTGATTTTTAACTACTTGAGCATGACTTGTGGTGGCACGACTGGGGGATGGGGGAATATTTTCTTTCGGGAGGGGGATGCTTGCCCCTCGCACATCCTAGATATGCCAATAACAAGCATACCCTTCAATTTAACCTACGGTCCGCCTCTGGTTATGACTTGCATAAAATGTGCAGAACACACCTGAGCCATGCAAGACTTACATGAGCAATGGAATACTCACCTGGGCAGTGCAGGGTAAGCTATTGCCTTGTATATCAGCACAGTCACCAAGAGCATAAATAGAATTGGTCTCATCTCCCAGCACTCTCAATTTGTCATCTGTGAGTAACTGACCAGATGGGTTCTTGTCAAAATCTAGCATCTTCACAAATGGCCTTAAATATGAGATGAAAGAAACATTATTCATCAGTTAGACTTCGACATCTTACTGATGGCCATACCACGTTTATTGAGAAGGGTTTTTGAGGGGGTGTTTCTCCAAGGGAGATGTCTATTTGAGGGAGGTGTTCATTCCAAATGAGGCTTTGGAGTGGGAATTTATTTGAGGGGCATTTATTCAAAGCGGGGTGTTTATTCAAATAAATATGGTACTGTATATCTTTCAAGAAAGAGTTAAAATAAGTAACAATAATTCTATTCAGCTCTGGTCATATCTTACCATGGAGCTGTGGGTTGGTGGTTGAGGTGCCTACTTTATAACTGCAAGGTTGTAGGTTCAATCCCAAAGAAAGCAAATTGGTGTTCCAATAATAGTTAATAATTATAATAATATTTAATACCAATATGATTGGTAATATTTTTATGGATCATTAGGTCTGTACAGACAGTATTGTTTAATAAGTATATCTGTAGTATTAGTGAGAATGGTTGGTGCAGCTGTTGTTATTCACATTCTCAACATTAAGGTCAGGGCTTTGAACCCCTCAATGTGCATCTTAGAAGATGCTAAAAGTATCTATTGATATGTAAAATACTAGCTTAGTCTTATTTACCTAGGGGCTAGTCCAGTAGACCAAACAACAATACCACAAGGCAGAAATGTTCCATCTGACAGCTTCACACCATCTTCATGAACCTCTGAAACATTCAAAATACATCTATGAATACTCATATTATGTAAAAGATTTGCATCAAAATATGCATAATACAGTATAAATAACATCTACAGTATAATTAATTTTTTTTGTAAATTTGTTTTTGCAAAAGCAATAAAGTTCTGTATTCTGTAATAAATCAAAGTATTGTACAAAAATACATGTATCTTGTCAACATTAAAACATTTAAAAAAATTTAATTTACTTGTATGTAGTACAGTACTGTAAAAGTTCTTGGTCAATCGAAAACCTTAGTGCCATGAATATATATTATGCTCATAATGGTATATGCCCACACCTTTTACCTTTTGTGTAATTTTAATGCAAAATGCTCCCCCCACAAGTGTAAGCCCATCCCCCACCTGGACAAATGAAAATCAACACTGTATGCCTATAGTAAAAAAATCTTAATTTATAATGAACCTAGTATAAAATAAGTTGCACTGCAAACTTGGCATCAAACTGACAGGGTATCTAGCCTTGGCTCACTATTATTTGCAGTTTCTGGTGATCTGGCATTTTTAGGGGTGACCCCTAAAAATGAGTTAAGTTTATTGGGGTGAGTTTACACTTGGGAAAATATGGTACCTACACACTCACAAACCCCCACTAGATACCCACCTGTGACATGAGATTGCACTAGCTTCATCTGCTTTCTGGACTGGATTTTCTTCACAGCGTAGGCTTGCAATCCTTCGCTAAATGATGACAGAATTTTGTTAGCCTCAATCAGTGATACTGCCATCAGATCTTTCTCCTCACTGTACAGTCTTGATACATCCTAGGTAAGCATACCGATTACATTATACATTAGGAGGAGATAATAATTTCTTTTCAAAATGAATGCTGTAAATTTTGCCAATTTCTACTTTAAAACAATAAATAGGGCCACTGTAACATAAGTCTGTATCATGGGGTGTAATAACCGCATTAAATCACCTAAACTACGGTATAAAGCAAGCATGCTTTTAATTTATTTGTTTGAAATTCAAGTACAGTGTATGTGCTATACTATTTCGAAAAGAATCCCTGCTTATCTTAAAAGCTTCTTTTCGAGGCTATATTTGCAAACTAAAGAGGGGGCTTCAATTCGGGGTGTGCTTCTTCTTGAGATTAAGCCCATTGGGCTTCTATTCGGTATCAAGATTCAAGGTTGGTAAGTTGGACTAAGCTGCCATGAAAATGAATGTTTTCTGGAAAAGTTTTAATCTGTGGTTATATGAACAACACAAAACGCTTGTGTTGAAAGCTTTTGTCGAGTTGATAACTTTAACTTAAGAAATCTATGGTTGTTCAAAATAAATGTAATTTATGAGTAAGGCATTCTGTTGATGTTGAGAACCAAAAATAAGTTTCTTATCATAGTTCCAATATTTTATTTGCGTTACAAAATTATTAAATACCTCGCGTAAAAAGTCATACAGTTCTGCTCCAAACTCAACACCTGTGGGCCCGCCACCTACAATGACAATGTGAAGAAGCCTCTTGCGTTCCTCGAGAGAGATTCCCGGATGCAGTGCCAATTCAAAGTTACTTAAGATACGGTTGCGAATATTCCGTGCATCAGCAATCTCCTGGAAAAACAAAAACAAATTTTTGTCCATTACTTAGTATTTTTGTAGTTTGTATTTTACAGTAGTAATACACACATTTCTCATTGAGTATATTACTCATCCCTTGACCTACTTAAATTAATTATAATCAGCAATAACCATGATATTACTGGGTTGGGATTGGGATAACTAGAATTTGCTACAAGCACAATATCACTTGATAGAGGAATCAGGTATACTGTAGGTAACAAGTGATAGACATGGTATTTCTGAGCAGGGTTAGGATAAGGGGAGTTTACCACAGCCTTAGCATTACCTGACAGGGGAATTGGGTATCAGCTTGTTAGGGTCCAGGTTGCTAAGCCCAATGCGCTTATAGAAAAGAATAATTTTTGGCATTTTACGCTGTTCTCGAGATGTTTTACAATACATTACGGTGAAGTATATTTTTCTAAGACAATTTGTGTTTCTTTTTTTGTTGCAACAAGTTGTAGCCAATGTGGGTGGGGGTTATGCAATTTTAATATATTTTATAACATCTGATGCCCAGTACAGTGAGATGTGGAGCTTACACCCCCTGGCCCCTGCCTTGTCACTGGTGCCACCACTGACACCACCACTAGCAGTGGGGTTTCATCTGGAAGGATGCACATGAAGACACCTATACACTACCTTCAAGAATGATGTGTGTTCATAAACACCTGGTACACCAAAGGTGTTACTCAAAGCACCGACTGCTACAATAAGTTTGTCGTACTTAATTTTATATGCCTTTCCCAGTGTCAACACACTTTGGCACTCAAGTGTCTTCTCTTTCGCATCTATGCCAATGGCTTCTGATAAGTGAAAGTGGTCGGTCTTACGGAATCCAGTGTTCCTGACTGGTTCAATTATACTCCTGGAAAACAAATAATTTGTATCATTTCTGTTATTCATTCAAGCAAATTGATCAATCAACAAGTAATTAATTTATCCAATATGGAACAAGCTCAAAGTTAACTGTGAACAAACCTGAACTCAAGTGTGCCAACGGTTGTGCTTGCCAGCAATGGTGTAAAAAGAAAATGGTTCCGTGGACTGACGACTATTACATCGTAATGCTTCTTGTTGACATTTCGTAGTACACTGTAGCCACCCCAGCCAGTTCCTAGTATAACTAATTTTTCTCGTTGCACAGTGGAGTTGATTGATGCTTGCTTATTGCTTGAGGAATTAAAGCCTCTTGGTAAATTCTGTGTTTGGAATGTATAAATGCTTGACATATAGCGAAAGAAAAGCAGTCTTCTTGTGAGATGACCTGTCATTATGCCATTCAACCAGGTTTCAATCTAAAAGAATAAAAGTTTTTTACATTAAAATAAAAAAAGAAAAAGAAAGAAATGTGTTCCTCTACCTGCCTGGTTCCTTTTTTGCTGAACTTCCAATTTTATCAACTATAATATCGTTTTGCTTACCTTAAGTGAAAAAAGGAGGCAAAGATTATTACTCATAGAAACTGCCTCCACTCCTGGAATACATGTGAATATCGTAGAATCATTTGAAGGAGTTAAATGATGGACTGTCAACAATGTAATGTGGTAAAGAATTCCATGTATTAATAACTCATGTGTCAAAGAGTGAAGCTCTTGTGGGAGTTTTAAATCTACGCTTCTAGAGTTTGGATGGATGACCATATGTAAAATTCCCCCCTGAAATACTGTGTAATGTAAAGAAATCAGACATACCTACAAATGTTCTTTTAAATTTTTAATATTTCTTTTTCTACATAAAATAATGACTACTACAATAATATTAGCAGTCATTTTCATATCGTCTATTTACATTTTTGAATTGTTTAAGATTCGTTGTTACTAGCATTAAAACCTTGCCTAAGGAAGTCGGGGTGAGGGGAGGGGGAGAGTTGAGTGGGATTGCAATTAAGTCAAACCAACCAAGGAGTTGGTAAAAACTAATTGGAATGTTGTCATGTATTATTGTTGTAAAATTAAATCATAAATTATTAAATTAAAGAGCAAAATAAAGTATTCTTACAAACACATTACAGAGAGTATCGAGGCTTTGTACAGATGAAAGCTATACCGTAAGTTAAATACCGGGAAACTGAGATGCATGCTTAGGCCCCAGCCCTAGGCTAGTAGTACAGTACCTCTTCATTATACTGCCTCGCCGAAGGGAGGCTATCAACTCCCTCGAAGGCTCCAACAAAAAATGTAAACAAAAGGTGGGCGGACGGAAGCTCATAATTTGTTTATGTTGACTGTTAAATGTGTACAAACGGCGCTATAAGTAAATACAGATCGCATACACAATTAATAAAACGCTAGAAATATATTTACCTTTATTACTGCAGGAAGTTGTCACTATAACAACTCCCTGATTAATGTAAACTGTTGCGTAAAAACGGCACGACCAAATTCCATGAAGGCGATGTTTCCCAGAGAGCATGCGCAACTAGTGATGAGCTGCTATGATGGCCGGCACTGTAATATGAAGGGGTATAAGCTGGGAATTATCATATTTATTTAATAATATTAATATCAAGTATACAGAAGAAAATCGTCAGTACACAAAATGAAAAACAGGCCTACTTAAAAAAACAAACATATTACATTTAAGAACAGTATCGACCATCCCTTTTCTTTCCCTTCTCAAACTATTAGTACCGTAGTCACTGTATTTACTGTATTATTATTTATTTATTTCCGTAAAACCTCCTGAGGGCGCGAAGAAAGGCATAAAACTGCGTATCAAACAAGATCAGAAAGCAATACAATTTAAAGAGTGATAAAAAAATACTATCAAAATCGTTAATACATAAAATATATTGAATACTAGGCCTACCATAATAAACGAAAGTTATCTTTTAAATGCAACTTAACAAGTTTATTCATTAATACGAGAACCTATCCTTAAAGAGAGAGAGAGAGAGTAGCACTTAAACACAAGTGAATAAGGACGAGAAGTGGAGTTAATAGGGAAGTTGCGATCTCCCTATTACTGTACTAAAAAAAGCCTATGCGAGATAAAGGTCCAAAAAGCATTTTTATGACCGTTACAAGGAAAGAGTGCTCGGACAATAGGATACCGATTGCGGCCTTCGGGAGCTTATTTCAAACTTATCGCGATTATTATTAAAGAGATTCACTGAAAAGTCATTGACCAATTAAAATATGGGTTAAGATACTTGAGTTCATAAATGAATTTCACCAACCCGTTTTCGCAAAAACCCACACCCGTTGAAATTTCTTTAAACTTTTATGACAATTAGGCATATGCCTACCTTTCACATTTGATGATAGTCTTGGTTAAACACCAAGGTACGTAAGATTATCAATGAAAGAGGAAATAGCATTCAGAGACCAGAAAGGTTCAGAATTTAAATGGCTTTTACCAAAGTTTGAACAAAAAGATTGAGCATAAGCCTATAGGTGTTTATACACTTTACACTGTACCGGTATATCATTTTGCCAGAACAATATAGGCCTATTTACACCAACAATAAAAGACGCATGGTCATTGTGTGCAGGATTTCGCAAAGATTTAGACGAAATTTGCTGTCGACGCCGTTCTTTCGTATCTTAAATTTCACTGATTAAAAAAAACCAAAAAAACAAACAAGCAAATTAGTATTCGATAATGTAATAAATATAGGCCTATATAGAATTCAATATGTTAGGCCTACAATTAAGGCAAATGCCAAGAAAAGTTTGAAAACAAAAGAAAAATTACAGAACAGCAAAATCTTAACAGTGGATGTGGCCTTTTTTATTGCCTGACAAAACTCATAAATGGTACAACAAGTAATATAAATAAGTATATTTTAGGCCTACATAGGTAAAGAAAACAATTAATTACATACCGTAATCAAGTTGATAACCATACGTACTAAAGAAACACTAATGAAGCTATCATTGTATATCATGACCAAATTCTTAAATATAATTCATGTTATACGGCACAAAATCAAGAGATGACATCATTATAAATAAAAGTTGTTTGTATTTTATAATTGATATGAAATAAAATGTTGAATTGATATCATTAATAGGCCTTTTAATAAACGTGCTGTTACTTTTTTAATGTACAGACAGTAAATAATTACCTTAGGCACAACAATATTTGTTCTTTTTCTTGAATTATCTCTGGCGTATAATGACGGTCACCGGTTGAGCTGAGTGTCTGGAACCAAGTGACAATAAAGTTTACCACAACGTGATTAATGTTTTTATATAACATTTTATAAATATACCATTCAGTTGTTAATCTTTTTTTTCTACACTTAAACAAGTTGGCACAAGTAGGAACATGCCTAAAATCCAAAACAATGTGGTTTATTAATTATATACATTTATGCAATAGATATATATATTATAATTTTTCAGGACATATTAAAATATATTCTAAAATATCAATAATACGGATACTTTATGGTAATAATATTGCAGAAAAGTTACTGTTTTGTATCCGTTTTTGCAAACGATGAGGGCGCAGTAAGGTCAATTGTATTCTTCCGCGCGAGACAGGAAGATGAATGTAGATGACTGAATTGAGAACTGTTTTTGTAAAAATGGACACCGATTTATGTAGGATTTTCACTTGTCTTAGTTGATTTATGTCTCTATTGTGGGAACATATACCGAGGATTATACATACTTGATTGTTCTATTGAATATTTGTTGGGTTAAACTGTCAAGAATATGGAGAACGAGACGAAACCTCGTTCGAGGACCCGCCGTCGTCAAAGAGCTCAGGAGATGCGTCAGGCCAAACAGCAAAACCATAATGAAGGTGGAAGCGGGGACGAAGAGGAATCGCCGCCGCAAAGCAGAGAAAGGGAGAGAGGAGCTAGACATCGAAGCCTAAAAAGACACGAAAAGAAGAAGTCCGAGTCCTCTTCGTCCTCATGTAGCTCTGGGGAAGAATTTATAATAGATGGCTTTGCAGTCGCTGCATATACGAGTCTTGATGCTCTAGAGGTAAGGTCGAATTTTATCAAACATACATCATATTCATGTGGATGATAAAAACTTTTTTAACTGACTTTTTTTGCAGCTAATTGTAATGTATGATTCTTGTGGTTGAATACTGATATGTGGGTTGTTTTAAAAATTGTACTACTATTAATATTATTACAGTAGGCCCTAGAGGTCTATACTCACTAGCTAGAAGGTCTAAGTGGGCCTAATAAAATGCATGAAAGCTCTGAGAAACCCTATTGTACAGCAACAATTGTTAAATTTCTTTCTGCTGGTATTGTATTCGTCACCCTATTTTTTGGATTGAACTTCATGTGGCCAAACTATCCTGGTCCCTTTATTTACCCTAAAATAAAATCCAATGCGAACAGCCCTCGTAATGGCTAATGCTTTCCTGTCCAAGCTACGCCGTAAGTCAATCGTTCCAAGGAAGAATAATTTTGGCCTGCCTTTTTTAAGGAGATCAACATTTTTTTTATGAGTGCCACCTCAAAAGTAATTTGGTTCATCTACAGACCTGTCAGGGGTCTCACACTGGCTTGCTTGAGATTTCTTCTGGATTTGCTTAAGATTTCTTCTGGATTTGCTTGAGATTTCTTCTGGATTTGCTTGAGATTGGACCTTTTGAAAACTATGTGCGAGGTCACAAACCTTAAGGAAAATACAGTCAAGCGTTGATATGACATACAGCTTTACAGACAAATACATTGATACAAAGTGCCACTTTGATATCCCATTTAGTTTTCTTCAGTTTCTGCTGAGGTGGCGTCGAACACTGTACTGTAACGATCGCTATCGCCAATAGTCGTGTTTGTACATGTTGTGCTTGTTTGAGAAAATAGAGTAGCACATTTAAAAAATATAATTTGAAGAAATTCTGGAATGCGTGAGAATATATAGGCCTCGCGTGAGGCCGTGAGGTCGAAGTTAAATGTTAGATGTGTGAGACTTGACAGGTCTGCATCTACATTTAAATGTGTGATATGGTCTGGAAGCACTTGATAGGCAATTTACATGTGATGAATTGTAAATGTTAAAACCTACTGTATTTACAGTACTGGTATATTTAATTTCAATTGCAAACAGTGGTACTTTACTATTATTAGCCATTAGTAAAGTTATTTTTTGTCTTGGTCAAAATTCATCCAGTGCGAACATTTCTCCCTGTGTTGTCGACTATAATTGGATGCTGCACTTATTCATATGTTGTCGATAGTATTTGATGCCTTATTAATAATATTCATGCAATAGGACCATATTGAATTCATGATCTGTATATATGTTACTACTGTAGTTAGTCAATCCAAGCAGCTGTTTAAAGTCTCTCAATTACCTACAGTATTTCTTCACGTACAGTACACACAAGCAATTATTTTACATACTGTATTTAGCAAAGCATGTACCAGTTGGTTATATTTGTAAGGGTCGTTTATGTACTGTAGACTTTATTTTCAACGAATGCTAGTAGCCTGTGCATGTGCCTTAGTCCTTGGTTTTCATTCATATTTGTACAGTAGTTCAGCCAGTGCTACTGCAGCAGGTCTTAAGCTGCATTGACACGAAATCTGAATTTTCGGATCGTAAGGCGTACCGACCCAATCAGAAAATCGAATCAGAGTGTAAGAATAGAGGCGCTGACATTTGCAGCGCCATTGGAAATGCGGTCCGAATTTCGGTTCGTATCTGATGTGGATGCAGATTTATGCAGCCACAGTACTTTTTACAATCGATAGAGCCTACTTGACTATACATTCGCTGGGTGGTTAGTGGAAGCGCACTCCAACCCTAATATTAAGATAGTCAATTATAGTGAAGAAATGAAAGACGAACAAAACACTACAGCTACTACTAAAGACAAATGTGGTCTAGAAATGCAGTAAAAATAGCCTACAATATAGTAGTTGCATTGCAAAAATAAGAAGAAAAATAGAAGGGTAGTATTTGGATATGCACACTCTAAATAAATAGTTAAGTTTGAATTAAGAAATTTCACAATGATTTTGAAAAATGTCAAGCAATTATGTTGTTTGGTTTGTAGTTTTGAGTTATCAATCGAGAGAATTGCTTTTCTCCCTGAAAACTTGAACATGTTTGTGATTGATTGAAGCAAAAATCCAAGTAAACTCTCATGTTTAAATTTACTGTCATTTATGTCATATTTTATGCCTTTAAGTGTTTGATAGTAAATATCTCTGAACACTGTTAGCAATCGTAGTAGTGTTTAGTACAGTGAAGTATAATGTCTGGTGAATGGCTAGACAGATGCCACTGATTTTAGGCACAAGCTTTTAAAAAATGATATAAAACAGAGTGTAGTATGGATGATGGCTTATTGCAACTTACTCCATGTTGCCCTGTCAGCTGGAAAACTTGTTTAATATTTTGACAGATTTAAAAAAAAAATGATTATTTTAGCATGTTGCAATAAATAAAAGTCTCATTTTAAAACTATTAGTCCAAATTGCTGTTCTAATAAATTACTGTATAGTACAGTATACTGTGTAGAAAGTACTGTATTTTAAAAGTGTGAAATATTATACAGTACTGTATATTGAATTATTGCAGTTTGCTAGCATCACTTCACACGATCTTGTAACATTCATTGGATATCATTTCTTAAATTTCCTAAACATTACCACCAGTATAAAAACAGATATTTAGAACCCCAGGGGAATATATACACAACCTGATTTTTAAACTTGAGCATTGAGAATTATTTTGTTGCCATAGTTGCTGTTAATGTGGAAACCATTCAAATTCTTTTTCTTCAACATTTATTTAACCATAACATAATCATAAGACATAATATGTTTGAGTGAGAAATATGAAAATTAAAGTCAATCACATTTGTTAAGAACAAAATAATAGATATTAAAATTATGGTTTGGATCAGGTCTACTGTAGCAGCGTCAGCTTGTCTCAACCTGACCCATAAATAATAAAATAATAATAATAAAAATAATAATAATAAGGATAAATTAATCAAATAGATATACAGTACACTATAATACACATTAATAAATCAAGACCTATAAAGCACAAACCATAATTATAAAAGGTTACTGGTCATAATAATTAAAAAGATACATTTTTTTCATACGATTTCTAAAAGTTGGTAAATTATTGCAATTTATTACTGTAGTTGATCATCCAATTCATTCCATAATTTAGGGCCAGTTATAGTAATACAAAGATTTGTTTTAGTTAGTCTAGAAAACGGTACATCAATTTTATGAGGTTTTCTTAAATTATATCTAGGTGAATTAGAGATATTTGGTAATAAATTGGAAATTGATGAAGGTAATTGTCCGTTGACATATTTAAACATGAAAGAGGAAATTTGGATTTTGTGAAGATCATAAATATTAAGAACATTTAATTTCTTAAATAAAGGTTCGGACAGAGAATCAAGGGGGGATAAGGATATAATACGAATAATACGTTTCTGTAACTTAAGTAATTTGTCAAGATTGGTTGGATAATCGGCTGCCCAGACAATATTGCAATACTGTGTAAATAAGGGAGTACAAGTGAGTTATATAGTTTAATAAGATACGTTGCGGGAAAAAATATTTGAGTTTATTAATAACACCTATCGATTTAGAAATTTTATTTGCAATATATTTATGATGACTAGTCCATAAGAAGTTTTCATGAACTAAGACACCTAGAAAAAACGTATCATATTTCCTTTCAATAGTAATATCATTGAGATAAATATTACGATTATCTTTATCTAGCTTAATCTTTTTTGACGGCTGTGAAATAAAACATAATTTGTTTTTCTAGTATTTACAAGAAGCTTATTAGCAGTAAACCAATTGCTAATCATGGGTAACTCATCAAATTCCATAAACCTATTAAGAATGGAATATTTTTTTTAAATGGGATTTCTTGAGATTGGTGTCATTAATCAATTGGTAATTGACATTGGATTTTTTTATGATGCATTATAAATAATGTACTGTATTTGAATTATTACTGATCAATATTCTTTCCTTCCATTGTTAGTGTATTCTTAATATATGTTTTCATCTTAGACTTTATTAATTTTGATGTTAAGTTGGGTTTTCTTTAAGTTAAGTTAAAATGCATCATGATAAATTAATTATTCCATACTGTACAATGACCTTTATACCTAAAATTGATAATTCTAAGCAAAGAATTTGTGCATAAAATACATCTTTAAAATTTAGGTTTATAGTTTAAATCTAACTTTTCTTTATTCCTCAAGTGCATCATGTTCTGTAATCAACCTTTATGTTAATTTACAATTTACAAAGAATGTACTGGAGTCTTTAAATTTGTTAGTAGTATATCATCCTCATTTATTACACCAATTAACTAATAAAGAATCAACTAATTATTTGACAACACTATTCTGTTTTGGTAAAGGTATGAGATCGTTTCCTGTTTGTTATGGCATTATACTCAGAAGTAGTGTATTGTTTTTCTCTTTGTGTATTTTTCACATACTGTTGTGTATTATTACTTCAATCATGAAAATCAGATCCTAAAGTAGTTGATTCAGTTTTAAAATATCTCTACACTTATCAGAAAAAAAGGGGATTCTGGACATTATTATCATTGCCAATACGACAGAATCTTTAGTTTATCTGGAAGGCGGCAGTGTACCAGAAGAAGAGATTACCCCATGAATCAAGCAGTAAAATTATGTGTAGAAGAGATTACCTTACCCATGATTCAAGCAGTAAAATTGTGTGATGTCTCCATGGTCAATTTGCTTATCTCAACCACTTGAAAACATTCATACCAATTTCATATCTCCCTTGTGTCGTCAAACTTGACTCATATACACATTTTATTGTTCCTGGATGTACATCCGAACACAAGCACTTATCATGGCTACACTAAGAAATTGCTTGTTTCAATACTGATCCATAGGCCCTATAAAAGTTATTATTAGTTCCCTATCTAGGCTGGAAAAGTGATGAGGGAGGGAGGCTTTTTTTTTTCTTCTTTTGGGAAACCAATTGTCA